GTCGATTGGGTAAAAGACACATGAATTTACTTTAGTTGATCAATAAAATAATTCAAGCAAGAATCCCTAAAAATTCATGCATAAAAAGATATTAAATTTTGGTTATGAACTATACCGGATGAACATGGGACAATGAAAACCATACATAAGAGAGTGGGAATTATCTTCTTGATGGAACTCATTCATCCATAAAGCTAAATCTGTCATTCACTTCATGATGCCAATATGCCCATGGGATGATCATCTGTATGAACTCGAGATAATAGAGTGACACCCTATGTTCTCTTCGATGGGTGTTTCTTTGTGGAGAATTCTTTTGGCTACATCACTTTGGAATTTATGGAAGGAGTGTAATCTCAGAAAAGGCAAAGTTTGGGATGTTTCTAGTTTGTGCGTGACTATTAAGTGGTCGGTTGTGACATGCGCTTTCAGCTACCCTCCCTCTTGAAATGGTGTAAAAAGCAATGGTATTCTCTCACTTTCGAGAGCTCTTGAGCTTTAAGGAGTATCGTCCTCGAATGACGAACCACCAATCAGGTGGTTTAAGCTTAATTTTAATGGTAGTGTTTGAAGGGATTTGCTTGTATTAGGTTATAGGGGTTTACTGACAAATCACCAAGGAAGGACCCTCTAGTCTTACTAAAGAAGGATGCACGATTGTAAAATTAATGAGGCTAAACTTTGGACTTTGAAGATGAAAGCGTTGAGACTCTCCCCTACTCAAAAGGTGATTATTGAAGGAGATTCAGCTTGTCATCAAGTAGCATTTGCAGCCGGACCTTACCCGTTGGAGACTAAGCCCCATAATGGGTGAGAGTATCCTTCTTCTGCATGGCCGAGAAATTAGATTTTCTCGTGTTCGCCGTGGCTTCAATTCAGATGCTAATCTTCTAGCAAAGTAGGTGACGTCGTCTTAGATTTTTTGTGTCATTTTGTGTTTTCTTCTCTTATCTTGGTTGTTTTATCTTCTTGTTTTTGGTCTTTGCGTTTGTATTCTTCATTAATTATCTCAATAAATCCCACGTAATGTTTCCAAAAAAGAAAAAGAAAAGAGCATACATGATGAGAGAGAAAATATGTTATCTATATCACCAAAAGGGGGAAATGAGGGTTTATAAAAGAGATCGATGAGGTAACACATCATCGTACATGAAGCAACACATCATTGTACATGAGGCCTTGACATATGAAAAGAGGAAGATGACATGCTTATAAAACACACACATCATTATGTATCTTATTATATATGCTTTATTTTCTTTTGTTATTTATTTATTTTAAACATGACATAAATTCAACTGAGTTACTCGAATTAGGTTGAATAACTCACCTCGGCGAATGTCCGATTACCTTAAGTCGATGTTTTGAACATTTTTTCTCTCCTTTGGCAGGTAAAGCATTCATTCTTTTTCAGAAAAAGACTGGTAAAGCATCCATCATCATCTGACACTGTGGCAAGCTTGATAATTACATCATTTGACTACCCGGCGCTCCTCGATTTATTGTCATCGTGTGGTCTTTATGGTACTATATATCAAATAAACTAGATGCTCTCCCGCAATCCGATGCCGAATGATCCATCTGCATCTTCTCGATAAAGGATTCACGGTCAACCCTGCAGTTTTCTAATTTATTGGGGTTGTTTTATTTGTTGCTGTTATTTTGGGATGATTGAGATCACAAGATCCTATTAATTTGGGGAGTTTCGTTCTGGCTTGTTCTTTTGTTTTGCGCATAAATACCTTGTAAAGTCTGCTGAAAACGTATAACAAAAAGTAGTAGAGAGTTGATACTCGTGGATGTAGGCAAGCTCTGCTGAACCACGTTAAAATATGAGTGTCTTCTTCTTCTTCTTTATCTTCTCACATTTATTTTCATGGTATCAGAGCGGTCGCAATCCATTGCTCATCTTTTGTCTTCATTGGCCGTCATCCAATTGCAATTTTTTGTGGAAATTTTGTAGGAGGTCTAGCAAGGTTTTGTGGAAGCTCTCTGCTGCGATCTCTCATTTTCATTGTAGTTTCTTTGACCGGGTGACACAAGATCCAGATATCTCTTATTGTATTTTGCTAGAAGATCGATTGGAAGAAACTCTGTCCTTAACCTCTACAATTTCATAGAAGTTTTTTTGGATGCGGCTTGTTATAGTTTTGCAGATTTGCCATTCTTTTTCTGGCTGCAGTTTACATCGTCATTTTCATCTTCTTTCTATGATCCAGGGAACAGATATTATGCGAATATTTTTTTCTTATTTGCAGAGATTAGAGGTTTGCTGCGTTCTGAGCAGCGTTCTTCTTTATGAATTTGAAACTGATAAGGCTCTGCAACTTGTCTCTGCTGTGAAAGTTTTGAGAGCTCTTCCCTTAAGATAGCTTGGCTTCATTGTGTTGACAACATCTGATGTGAAAGAATGTTGGTGGTAAAGTCCTTCGCTTCTTTTATTAAATTGACTTTCACTCCATTTCCATGAGTATTTTTTTTGGCCTGCACTTTCCTTGCAGAACTAGTGGTTGTGTTCATCAGTTTTTGGATATAAGATTTAGTTTTGGTGGATGTGTTATTCTTTGTTATTTCTTGGAATTCCCTTTTTTATTATTGCCTTTGTAATCTTCAATCAGGTATGTTTTTTGTTTTTCTTATGGCTAATAAGGATAGTAACTCTAAATATTCCACACAATACTAGTATTAAACTAACTACTACCCTGCTCAATGGACTCGATTATATTGCCTGGTTAAGGGCTGTATATTTGGCCTTGGGTGGAAAATCTAAGTTTGGGCATGTCACTTGAAAGATAAAGGCGCCTAAATCTGATGATCCTACATTTGAAAATTGGCAAGCCAATGATCAAATGGTTATGTATTGGATTTTGAATTCCATGCAACCTGCAATTGTTGAAATATTCACCCACTCAGACACATCTGAACAATTATGGGAATCTATTAAGTCTGTATATGGTAATCAAAATAATATAGCTCGCATATATCAATTAAAGTAAGAAATATCTCCGGTTAAACAGAAAAAGTCAGTAACTGAGTTAGTTGTCAGTCTCAAACCAATGTGGGATGAGTTGACCACTTATACTCCTGCCACTATTGACTTGGCCATCATCCAAAAGCGTGTTGAACAAGACCAAGTTTTTCAATTTCTTGCTGCTTTAAAATGAGATGTCTACTAGTAAAGAAACAAGAGGAGGAGGTCGTTTTCGTAGATATGGTAGAGGGCGTCAAAATGGAAGAAGGACCACCTTTAAATGTGATCATTGCAAAGCTCTTGGTCATACAAATGACCGATGTTGGCTTTTACATCCCCACTTGAGACATTCAAAGGATATAGGAGGTGACAGAGCTGGCTCTCAAGCATCCACAGCTGATTCACAAATTACTCTGAAAAAATTGCTCAATTTTTCCAACAATATGGTAAGAGTGGCAATATCTCCACACATGACCCTCCTCAGAAAACAGGTAATTCCTCACCTTACTCTTTTCATTCTTATTCAAATATTCATTCTTGGGTTATTGATTCAGTAGCTACTGATCATATGACTGGTAATCTTAAGTGCTTAACCAGTTAGGAGAAATCTTCTAGTATGCCTCCCATATCAATAGCCAATTATTCAATTATTTATGTTCACGGTTTCAGAAAATATAAAATTATCTCTAACTCTCATGATTCTGAAGTACTGTTTTTACCATCGGTTCCTTCAAAATTGTTATCCACGAGCAAGATAACCAAAGATCTAAACTGTAATGTTCTTTTCTCTTTTTACAATGTTATCTTTCAAGATCGGGCCACGGGGAGGAGATTGGTGAATGGAGAATTTCGAATGGATTATATATTCTCATTCAAAAAAATAAAGCCTTGGTGGCTAACTATTTCAGTAGCAAGTTGTGGCATGTTAGAGTTAGTCACCCTTCTTATCATACTTTACAATTTTTGATTCCTAATCTTAGAATCGATTTTCATGAGTGTGATACTTGTCAATTTTCTAAAAAAACCAACTTCCTTTTCAGAAGTCTATGCATGATTGTGATGGGCCCTTTCAGTTAGTTCACTCAGATGTTTGAGAACCTACCCCTATTGATCGTTATTCTGAGTATAGATACTTTATTTTATTTATTGATGATTGGTCATGTGCAACTTGGATATATCTTTTAAAATCAAAAGATGAGGTCTTTCAGACCTTTAAGGAATTTAATGCTCTTGTGTCCAATCAGTATAATGTCAAGAATAAAATTTTTCGACATGATAATGGTCTTGAGTATGTTAATAAAATTTTTTTTGAGTACCTTACTAGTCTTGGCATTATACATCAGACCTCATGTGTCCGGACCCCCCCATCAGAATGGGGTTGCTCAAAGGAAAAATAGGCACATTCTCGAGGTTGCTAGGTCTTTAATGTTTGAAAAAAATGTTCCAAAGAGATTTTGGTCTAAAGCCATCTTCATTGAATGTTACCTTATTAATAGACTTCCTAGTAAGGTTCTCCATGATAAACCCCCTCTTGAAGTTTTAAATAAAAGGAAGATTAACATCTCTTACCTGCATGTTTTGGGTGTATTTGTTTTTCTCATATTCTTGATCATAAGTGTGACAAACTTGATTCCCGAGCTAATAAGTGTATTTTTGTTGGATATTCCTCCACAACAAAAGGGTAAAAATGTTATAGTCCAATACAAAAAAAATAGTTTATTTCCATAAATGTTCAATTTTTTGAGGATGATATTTTCACTCTGAATTATTTAAAAATAGGGCTCATGGGGAGTATCATCTTCCAGTTCTTGTTAGTCAAAATAACAGTTCTTATAAAAGAAATATGGAGAATTAGAATATTGGCAATGACAATGAGAATGAAGCTGGCAATGACAATGACACTTAGAGAGGTAATAACCCCGTGGCCCATCCTCCCGATCCTCCCCTTCGCAAGTCATATCGTGTTATTCGCCCTCCTTCAAGATTGTAGGACTTTTTTTATGTATCATGTTGCTTCTCATCCTATTCAAAATCAAATTTGCTACAAAAGCATTTCTTTAACGTACTCTGCTTTTTTGAGTTCTATTTCTAATAATGTTGAACCCAGTAATTTTAATGATGCCTACTCTCAACCTGTCTGGAAGAAAGCCATGGAGGATGAACTATTGGCCCTTGATAAAAACCATACTTGGGATATAGTTCATTTACCCAAAAAAAAAGCCCGTTGGTTGTAAATGAGTTTTCAAAATTAAATACAATAGTGATAGTACCATTGAGAGAGATAAGGCAAGACTGGTTGCCAAAGGTTTTACCCAAATATATGCTATGGATTATAAAGAAACTTTTGCCCCTGTTGCTAATATGGGTACTATTCGGGTTCTTCTCTCAATTGTTATAAATTGTGGATGATCTTTGTGGCAAATGGATGTTAAAAATACATTCTTTCATGGAGACTTTGAGGAAGAAGTGTACATGAACATTCTTTCAGGTCATCATAAAGAAGGAAATCCTGAACTTACCTATAGACTTAAAAATGCTTTATATGGACTCAACCAATCTCCGAGAGCGTGGTATGCAAAGCTGAGTAATGCTCTATTAAGTAAGAGCATTACTCAGTAAGAATAGAAAAAATGGAATCGTTGTTGTCCTTGTATAAGTTGATGATATTGTAATAATTGGTACTGACAAATAAGAAATTTCAAAGCTAAAATGATATTTTCAAAGCAAATTTGATATTAAAGATTTAGGACAACTCAAGTACTTTATTGGAATTGAGGTTGCATACTCCAAAAAGGGAATTTTTATATCTCAAAGAAAGTATATTTTGGATCTCTTAAAAGATATTAGAAAACTTGAGGTCAAACCTTTTGATATTCCATTCGACTTGAATAATAAACTTATTTCTGATGAAGGGGAGCCTGAAAATATTGATAGATTTCAAAGACTTGTTGGGAAACTAATCTATTTGACTATTACTAGATCAGATATCGCTTATGTTGTTAGCCTAGTTAGTAAATTTATGCATGCCCCAAGAACTAGTCATATGATTGCTATTGAAAGAACCCTTCGATATCTAAAATCCTGCCCTGGAAGAGGAATTTGGCTAAAATGTAACAATCTCATTGATATTGTCAGATATTCTGATGTTGATTTGGCTGGATGCCAGAATGATCAAAGGTCTATTACTGGGTTTTGTACAATGGTGGGTGGAGACCTTGTCACTTGGTAAAGTAAAAAGCAAAGTGTGGTAGCTAGATCAAGCGCAGAAGCTGAATATAGAGCCATGGATGCAATTGCAAGTGAACTTGTTAAAGTTTCTCCTCCAGGACCTCGGATTTCAAGTGAAACTGCACATGAAAATGTTTTATGACAATCGTCTGCCATTCATATTGCTTCAAATCCTGTATTTCATGAAAGGACTAAACACATTGAGGTTGACTGTCATTTTGTCCGTGATAAGGTTAAAGCTGGAATTATTAACACTCCATTTGTTCAAAGTGAAGACCAGCTAGCAGATATTTTTACCAAGGCAATTTCAAGGACTAATTTTTTACATGCTTTGAGCAAGTTGGGCTCAATTGATATTTACGCACCAATTTGAGGGGGAGTGTTGAAGGATTCACTGTCAACCCTGCAGTTTACTAATTTATTGGGGTTGTTTTATTTGTTGCTATTCTTTTGGTTCGTTTTTTTGTTTTGTGTATAAATACATTGTAAAATCTGCTAAAAACATATAACCAAAAGTAGTAGAGAGTTAATACTCGTGGATGTAGGCAAGCTCTGCTAAACCATGTTAAAATCTGAGTGCCTTCTTTTTTATCTTCTCACATTTATTTGCAGACACACACAATTGCAATTGAAATTACTGCTTTTGGTCCCCAAAGAACATCCAACTCTGTGACAGGCTTAATAACTGTATCATCTGACAAACTTAAGGGCCGCAATTCATCATCGGCATGTGGTCCTTATGGTTCTCCACATGAAATAAATGAGATTGTCTCGCGCGATTCGATGCCAATTGATACAACTGTAGTTTCTCAGCAATTTTCTCCAGATGCATCACACACAATTGCAAATGAAAATGCCACTTTTGGTCCCCAACATTCACCATTGGTTTCTCCTCATGTATCAAACCAACAATTTTACGGTCCCCGTGATTACCATCTTCACCATTCACACCACCGGTTCATCATCTTCAACATGAATCAGAATTAGATGATGGCCAAACTCTACCATTCTATAAAGTACCTAAAGAAACAGAGCTCGTACACAAGAAAAACCACTCATTTCCCACTGAAATGGTTGCGGTGTTCGCTATGAGTGCGACCACATCTCTGCTGATCATTGGTTACGAAAATCACGAAGGCTGGATAATACCTACCATCTTTCTGTCGAACCCCACATTTTTCATCATATGTGCTATTTTTACCGTGCTCGCCTTTGCAAGTGCTATAGGCGAGATGAGGTGCAAGGGTCGTTATCCAAAGATCGGTAAATTTATGTGAGAAATGGCCATTTTTTTGGCAACCATAGCATTTTCTGCCATTGCCTGGGTTATGCTTCCTGCAGGTGTTTTAAGGTGGGCAACATAGGTTCCAGTGATTCCTCAACTTATGGACTTAGCCATGCTCTTGTATAAGGTTGGAAAGGAAAAAATTAATGTTCACAGTGGTCAACTCATGGACTTAGCCATGCTCTTGCATAAGGTTGGAAAGGAAAATTTAATCCTCAGTGAAGAAAGTGAGGAGGATAATTAGTTAAATTTTCCTAGTAAGATGAAGGATCACTAAACTTGCATTAAAAAACAATTGTCACTGCTACTCTTATTGTGTAACAAAACCCTATAAATTGATGTGAAATTTTGGGTTAAGATTCTTCCTTAACTATATACTACTACTCCTTATGATTTTGATCGAGTGTTGTGCATTTTTGAGTTGCTCTATTAGAATTTGATAATTATAGAAAGGGGAATGATCATGTGTATTTACAATACATAGCTTTATAGTGATTTTAGATCTTGACCATTGGATGAAAACCACATCTCGAGATGAAACTTCCCATTCACAAGCTAAACCGTTTCAGCAGGTCACCTACGTATTTTTCAAAACTGCACTTAAATCTTTATAGCCAAATCAGATTCCGTACTTCTCTATGCATATTTGAAAAATGCATCTAAATCTTTGTAGCCAAACCAGATTCTGTACTTCTCTGTGCATTTTTTAAAAATATATAAGTGACTCACTTGCCAAAGAAAGTGCTAATACTCTAATGAATGAGCAGTTTTTTACACCTTCAGTCACTAATTTAGTCTAATCAAGCGCAGCCCCATATTCTGTGTTATAGACCCTATGATAATTTGTACATTAATTTTCTCAAAAAAAATATATACCAGAAAAGAAAGACTCATTGAGGTTTTGGGAATGGGAATTAGACTTATATGGTGCCTTAATCCATATATACTCTTGTAATGAAGTTGACTCAAGCAATCATAGCTCGAAAAGTCTTCATTCTTTAAAGTATTATCCGTGTTTCAAGTGATCCATGTGTGGAACTTTGGGAGGTTAGGACATTCACCCAACCCAAATTTAACATCGGCTAGTTTACAATCGTTTTACTCTGGTAAATTGTCTTGAATTTCAAAAAGGTCACAGAGCTAGACAATAAAATTCAAAGGAGATAGGTTGTGTGGACACCCCATTTGAAAATTGTTTTAAATTTAATTTTGATGGAAGGTTTTCAAGAAATCCTGGTATTGTAGGTATTGGAAGATTAGTCAAAGACAACAAGGATCACATTTTGTTATCCTACTCGAGCCCATGTGGTGTGGTCACAGCTAATGAAGCTGAAGTTAAAGCCCTAGGATTAAAGCTATTATCTTCGTTTGATTATGGAAGAGGATTATACCAATATGATTGCTTGGTGTAAGGGGACAGCAAGGGTACCTCATACATCAATTCTTGTTTTGGATGAAATAAAGGATCTCATGAATAGGAATTGTGTGGTTTTAAATCATTGCTTTAGGGAGGGTAATAATGAGGCTGATGATCTTTAGCGTCAGGTAATGCTCATCAACCCTCATGGGTATTCACCAAACAATCTTAATCTACTTTGTACTCTCATGTACATATTTTACTTGTAGTGGAAACCTACATGTTAATGCTCAAAAAAAAAAAGAAAAGAATTCTTTTCGTTCGGGAACTCCTCAAAATTTATTTAAACATCCTTAAGTTGCACATGTTATAGATGTCAAATCCTGAAAAAGATAGGGATATTTAAAATACATAGAACATATGAAACATTTGCATTCTAACAAGTGTTAAGTGTTAATTACCCAGAAATCGGGCTTGGGCTAGAGTGCTTAGGATCTTGGCAATGCAACATCTCAATTTCGATTCGTAGCACAAAACTACCCAATAAAAAAATAAAACAAAAAATCACAGTGTTAACTACCCAAATCCTACATTTTTGAGCAAATAAACAGATCCTTAAGTTAAAGGACAAGCATTACTAGAGACAGATTGAGAGTGTCAAAAAAGAGACTCCTTTCTACATATACGGCTGGTCACACCAAAGTGAAATGCCCAACTAGAGTATCTTTTTGTTCTTTTTTTTTTTTTGATGATTCACGTTGCACCGAATTGAGAAACTAATTGCAGAAGTGAGGCATATCTAGATTTAGTAGATTACCAAATGAACTTGAATCACTAATGTTCCTGTTAGGAGATGAAAGCATAGAACCGCAGATGGAACTAGAATAGGAAATAAGATTATTATGTAGAGTTTATGTAAAACTTTGTGTAGACAGTTACCAATACAACCAAATGCTTCATCAAGTTATTAGTCATCTGAAAATTCAAATTGTCAAGCTCAATCAAGAGGGATTGGCATCCAAGCTTGCGGATGTCAATTTTGTATTCTTGGTGTTAGTGAATTGGACTGGCTATCCAGTCGGTGAGATGCTTAGTCTAATCAAAACTAATCTAATTGCTTATTGAATCGCATGGACCAAATTCAAAAAAATTTAAAAATTTAAAAATAATAATTTAAAATATAACATATATTAAAAATTAAATAATAACCCTATGAGCCCCTCCCACATGCGGGCAGCATAGGACCCCATTTTGTTATTGTCCGATCTCCATTGGCATCTAGAAAAAAGATGTCGTGCCATGTCCTCGATAAAGTGGTAAAAATCAACCCATTGAAACGGTTAAAGAAACGCAACAAACCTATGTAGTCTTATAGTCAGCAATTGGATAAGTACTCAAAGAGAATCACAAGTAAGGGAAAAAAGATGGTGGAGGAATTATAGAGAGAAAAAAACATAGAGATGGTGGATTTGAAAAGAAAGCAAAGAGAAAGAAGGGGGAAAAGAAGTAAGAAAACCCAGTCACCATTTTTTATTTCTGGACCCTAAAATAAAATTTGGGCTCTCTCTCTCAAATTTTTGGAGCCATGATTCTGAGTGCTGGTGTTTCTTCGTTAAGATTTTTGCTTCTATGTTAGTCTTATCACTTCAATTGTTCTTATTTTATTTAACATTTTTAATCTCGTATCCTCTTCTTAAGTTCTTTAAACTCAAGCTAGAAATTTCAACCACTATACGTTCACCTTTTCCTCTGATTCTTATCACCCAAGTGTATTTTCCGGTGGTATTTACGGCCACTGGTAATTTTTCTGGTGAACTTATTCAGCAGTTAATGGTGGTTTCTTCTACTTACATGAGTTGGCAACGAAAAGGAAAAGAGAGAAAGTTTCAGGGGTTTGGAGGAGGGGAAGCTTGAGCCAAAACCATAGACATTGAGCTTAGATTGGTTCCTCTTGGTGACCACCACGCCATAATTGTCCATTTCGGGTTTTCAAATATAGCAGTTTTTGTGGAGCGAAGTGTAGTATTCAAGACCCAGTAAGAGCAAACCCTGCAACTAATGAAAGCAAGTCTTCCATTTTTAGTGAGAGAAACGAAAAGCTTTCAGGCCAAGAAACAAAGCTAGTTTCGCAACAACCAACTTTCTCTCTCTACAAAAAAATCTCAGACTAACCTTTATTCCAGCGTTTTAAAAAACGCCGAGTCGAACCGGACTCGACTCGGAAATAGTGAAAAAGGAACCGGATCGCCAAAAAATCGGAAATCGTCCGGTTTTAGAGAGAACCGGACGATTCTGTACAGTGAATCGGCGATTCCGTACGGTTTTAATTTTTTTTTTTTTTTTTTTTTTTTTTTTTTTTTTTTTTTTTTT